CGCCTAAAGGGATTATTCAGGAGTCCCTTGTCTTGCAACCGTCCGAATTATTCACAAAGAACCAAGACTTGTTTCTGACCACCTGAAGTGATAACATCCCCTACATGTTACATTTGTTACATTTACAGTTATCAGCGGTGTTGTGAGTAAACAAAGAATCAGTGGGTGATTGTCCTGTTTGATACTTACATCCAACTTAATTGGAAAAAGATATTTTTTTTCCATTCTCCTTCCAACTCACAAGCAGGCTGTATATGAAGCTCTTGTTTTCCCGTTTTACCCCAAGAAGGCAATGTGCTTGTGGAGAATTTCTTTTCTAGTCACCTTGTTCTTCTGTCTGAACATGAGGAAGAACTTCTTCCCTCTGAGGGTGACGGAGCACTGGAACAGGCTGCCCAGGGAGGTTGTGGAGTCTCCTTCTCTGGAGATATTCAAAACCCGCCTGGACAAGGTCCTGTGCAACCTACTGTAGGTGACCCTGCTTAGGCAGGGGGGGTTGGACTAGATGACCCACAGAGGTCCCTTCCAACCCCTACCATTCTGGGATTCTGTGATTCCATTTAACCTATATATTGGCATTTTTATTTATTAATGGTGTTTTTAAAATAGTGACATAAAGTTCCTTGAAACAACCAAGGAGAAAGCTAGGGACAAGTATGTGTTCCTGATGTGTAAATACGATCTTAACTTTTTGGTTTTTTTCCCCCTGTGGAATGTTCACTAAATACCACTATTTGTACAAGATCTGTTCTCAGGGTGGTTGAGCTGAAATCCATTACACTATTGTGTTTGCCAACAGACGTTAAAGTACTATTGCTTTAATGACAACATAGTCATCAGACATTTTCTGGTGCATTTGGCTTGGATGGATTAGGATTTAGTGAAATAAGACCCACTTGTGCTGGACAAAGTGTAACTTCTTTGAAGTCAATAACTGTGGTTAGTGTCTTATCTTGCTCTGGTTCTTGTTGTTAAGCATAAAATTTTACTTGAGTGTAAAGTGTTTCTGGCAAATGACTGACTATTTTTGAGTGGTTTTGTTCATACTGTTCCAATTTACAATATCATCTCATGAGAATTATTCATTGTGGAGTTCAGATTCAGGGAAGGAAGTGAGAATTATATTATTAAAACTATGAGGAGTAATTTGTGCTCTTTTTCTTTTGTCATTTATTATTCTTAAATATCCTATGACACACAGTTTACAAAATATAAATTACATTATCATCTGAAGTAAAACGGCAATTATATGTTATTTTGAAGGTTAATGCAACTGAAATTTGATGTGTTTTGTGCCTTTGAAAATTTCCTACCATTTTCTGCATAGTTACTTTCAGGGTGTTTTGATAGTTTCTTGTGCAGTGTTTTCCTCGGGAGGGAGATTATTGCCCCTACAAGATGACTTTTAACAGTTAGAGTAACAAGGTAAAGTAAAAAAGATCAATATTTCATTTTAGAAGGGTGGTTCAGAAAATTGGTTTAGAACTGCATTTTGACCATTCACGCAATGGTCTTTTTTATTCCTCTGTAATATTAGCATGGCTTCCAGTTTTTCAACCTGTAGTAAAATTGATGGTGTTCAAGCCAGTTTGCTCACTTGGTCTGCAGCTCTAATTTATGCAATACTTAATTTAAAAATTCCAGATATATAGTTTGAGGAGAAAAAAATACTGCATAATACAAAGTTCTTGTCTTTATGTTCTAGGTTGTGTTAAAGATCATTAAACATTACCAAGAAGAAGGACAGGGGAATGAAGTGGTCCAGGGAGTGCTGCTGGGTCTTGTGGTGGATGACAGACTTGAAATCACAAATTGCTTCCCTTTCCCTCAGCATACCGAAGATGACGCAGACTTCGATGAAGGTAATGGTTACAGTTTTGCAAAACTTTAAATAAAAAATTAAAAATCTGTATGTGCAAAAAAGGATTTTTATTTTTTCCCTCAGTGACCAGGAACGTGTATGTGATTGAGAGTGTTTATGTTTGACTTGAGGTATCAGTGGGTTACTCGCAACGCCATCCTGCATATCCAAATGAAATCTTGCCTGTGTAAGGAAAGTTACAGGGATAAATATTGTATTATATGGACGTACTTATTTTAGGGTAAGACTTTCCACACAGTAAGATACATAAGCTTCCAGTCTGTAATTCATATAGACTTTAAAGCTTTTTATGAAAATGGCTGTGTGTGTATGCTCTGTATGTATATATACATGTACATATGTATGTAGTCGGGCATATAGATTGTCTATCCATAGATTTATTTGAATGTGTTAAGTACTCATTGAAAGCCTGGAGAGCAGAGCTCTGTAAGTTGAAGAGGCACTGGTTAACTTGAAATCTGGGTGATATTTTTGCTTCTCAAAGTGAACTAGAAGTAGCGTCAGTGGTTTCTACCTGTCATGATGTTTCCTTGCTGGTCCTAGTAATGTTTTGTTATTGCCACTGTAAGTCAGTGTAATTGGCTTGATGTGGAACAGTACAAAAATTTATAAAGTGAACTGAAAAGTCATAGAATTCTGATCTTGGTACTTTATATGTATGTGAGTTTAATGATACTAGTAGAAGTGCTTCTTTGTTAGGGCTTAAGGAGAGACAGTTTAATTTCAAGAGTAACTAAAGAGGCAATATAGTCAAAGTAGTTGCAGTTGGAAGCTTCATGCTATCTAATTTTGGTAATTCAGTATGAGGGAGATTACTTAAAGTCTGAACTGCTTTTTCTCGCTTATAATGAGGTTAGTTATTATTAAATTAATATTTTATCTTATTCAAGAATCTTAGACTCTACCTTTAAACAGAGATAATTTTAAGAATTCTTTGCAACTTGGTAAGGTTTCTTAGCTGTTTATTGCTTCTGTTGTGAAATTGTACAATTTGCTATATGAAAAAAAGCGCACAAAACACAAGAGAATCTTAATTGTCCTACATTAATATGATGCTTGAGTCAGAACTATGTTTTATGAAAGCCTAAAAGATGTTTTGAAGATTCCTTCTCTTCTGGAGCTCTTCAAAGGACTGAAGTAATCTGAATTTTTAACTGGAGCCCATGCTTCAGTTCTCCCTGTTGAAAATGTCTGAATTGTTTCTATGTAGCTCATGGGCAAGCAAGGAGCCAAATAAATTTCTTAGTTTCCGAGATGGATTAATCTCACCATATGATGACTACCATGCTGAAGCTGTAAGCCTGTGATCTTGTATGCAAGGTTCATCTGTTTTTGCTTGGGAGAAACTTTATTCCAAGAAAGTGACTCTATTACCAATCTTTCTTTTTCCCTTTTTAGCAAGTAAGGAATAATCCTGGCATTAAGTAAGGCACAAAAGGCAATGCTTGTGGAGCTTCGCTGACCTGGATGTCTTAGCTTGTCAACCTTCTGTTCCCATGCTGCAGACACAGAGAGAAGAGCAAACTCTAGCCCGAGTGGAAGGTGAACCTATGATGGTGACACTGATGCATGCCTCTAGCAGTGATAGGGAATGGGCAGCCAGGTCGGGAGGGCTTGCCTGTGCTGAATCGTAGAATCATTTAGGTTGGAAAGGACCTTTAAGATTGAGTCCAACCGTTAACCTAGCACTGTCAGGTCCACCACTAAACCATGTCCCCAAGTGCCCCGTCTACACGTCTTCTAAACATCTCCAAGGATGGTGCCTCAACCACTGCCCTGGGCAGCCTGTTCCAGTGCTTAACAACCCTGTTGGTGAAGAAACTTTTCCTAAAATCCAATCTGAACCTCCTCTGGCGCAACTTGAGTCCATTTCTCTTGTCTTATTGCCTGCTACTTGGGAAAAGAGACCGAACCCCACCTCACTACAGCCTCCTGTCAGGTAGTTGAACCCTATAAGCCAGCCTCAAGAGCCGTTTTGTATTGGTTTTCATCTTCCCTAGCCTCTACCATGTGGGTCGCAGAGAGGTTCTCTCTATATGCTTCTCAGTGAAATATAGTTCAATAGACTGAACCACTGAGGAAACGCACAGCGCTCATGTTCATTCTGCATTCCCTTTACTCAGGGCCTGTTCAGCCCTTTGACCTGTGTGGGAGAGGCTGGGGAAGATGAAAAGTCAAACAAAATGGCTCTTGAGGTTGCCAGCTGGGCATTAGGTACCTTTTTAGGCTCTTTATAAAGTTGTCTTCTGTCTTGCCAATGTGAAAAACAATAACGTTTTATAAACACTGCTTGTTTGTTTTCCCCGGAGCTATGTTTCCCTATGCAAGCATCCTGCCAGATTTTCAAAAGATTCTTTTTTCTTCTCGATACGGATACTCCAGCAGAGAAATCTCTTGTTATATGCCTGAACCTTAAAATTCAGGATGCTAAAAAACAAACCAACAAGGCACCTACCTCCCCCAAGACTTGTATGTTGCATCAGTATCACAGCTGGCTTTATTTATTTGTACAAATTCAGGTCCAGAAATACGTGAGGAAAGAATAAGGGTTTTGGCACTTCAGTGCCCACATCACCCAGAATGGCACTTAATGCTGTTCTCTTAGGTCAGAACAATGTTGTTTTGTCTTTCCTTCTAAAAGCATTTCTTAGCAGGCTTTGGCCATACTGGATCTTGTGTTAACACGGGGACTGTTGCACTGGCTGAAGGGCCACGCTACCTTGGCTGCCCTTCTCCTGAGGGGAGGAAATGGAGAGCAACCACGGTGCGGTTATCTGTTGGCAAACTCCGAATCTGCTATGCAGAGAACTGAATGAAAACACCCCAAAAATCATTTTTTCTGTATCATTTTGCAGGTGCTCTAGGAACAGGTCACCTAAAAAATACTAATTTGCCTTGTGGTCTGGAGGTGATTGTTGTTAAGAGAATTGAGCTTACATACAGGAGGGTGATGTTTGACCAAATAAACTTGGGTAATTGGCAAGAGACATTAAAGCTAATGCTTTTCTTTTTTAAACTGAGTAAATCCAATATAAAACACATCTTTGAGGGTGCTAAGAAAATATCCTTAATGTGAACTTGAAATAGGTATGCATGGCATTAAAGAATGAGTTTGATAAAGAATTATTTCTGACTTGTTAGCAACAACCATTTCTTCAGATAAGCTTCGATGTGCTTTTGTTAGGGTGCCATTTTGTCTCTTGCTGCTAATGCCTGAGATAATAATATTGTTTTGACTATTTGCTGCAACAGAATTCCTTCAAAACTGAAAGTTTTGATTTAAAAAAAGATTATCCAAACTTGTTCTTTTAGTGCAAGAACACTTTTTAATGCAGTTTGGATTGGACTGTTTCTAGAAACTACGGAAAACATGATTTTATTTTTTTTTTTTTTTAGCTTCAAGTAATTCTTATTACAAATCTGTGAGGATTGCCTACCATTTATGAATCCACAGGTGTTTTTCATCTTGGAAAGTTTCTCCTGCAGTGTCATCTTCCTACGATTCTTTTTACAAAGTGTAATTTTTTTGGTAAGATTTTCCTGTCAGGGAAGTCTTAAACGCCTAGGTTGGCCTGCTGCAGCACCCGATTGTTGAGGGGGTGGGGGGCTGCAACCCAGCTCTGTGTTAGAAATCCGTAGGTGAAATTCAGTTGATGATGTGTGAGCTAATGGAGGAAAACTGCAGAACAGGGGTACGTTGTTGAGTCTTCAGCGAAAGAAGCTGCAATGTGAATGTTTGATATTTTGGGGCTGCACTCCGAACTTTTGGGCAGGCGTTCACTTGCAGTTATCTACACTTACAACCTCTATTCCTGCCCCCCCCGGTGGGTTCAACTCTTGTTTAGGGAAAATCAGATTTCTGCTGTGAGCATTTTTGGCTTAGGTGCTTCTGTGAAACGATGCCGTTCCGCAGCTTGTCTTTGCGTGTAGTTTTTCGAGAAGGAAGTGCACTAAAGTGAAAGTCAAAGCTTTTGTCTGAGCATAGCTTTGCTTTCTTTCAGTTAAGGTTTGCAGAAAACGTGTAATGCATGAGGTGTATTTTCTTCCTAAGAAATAAATTTATTATTCTTGACTATAAATTGTGTCTCTAAATGACATGTTAAGTTCAATCCTTTGCACTTCATTGTTTTTATCTTCAGTCCTGTTCACTGAGTAGCTCTTCTCCCTGTTTAAAGGAAATTTATATTCCTTCATGGAAAGCAACAGTTAAAAATGTAGTATACATTTTGTAATTCATTATAGATCTTGTGAGACACTATTTTGATAAGGTATTTTGAAAGATTTTATTTCAACTGAATGTATTTTAATACCTTACTTACAAAGCCAAGATAATAAATGAAGAGCTGTGGTAATTATGCCAATAGAAACTTTGAGACAGTTATGATAATACATGAAAACAAGTTCTAGAAGGTTGTAACTTTTTCTTCCTTTATAACTATGCAGAGTTTTCATTAGATTCCTTCTGAAATGCTTCTGATGAAAAGGTGATGCCGCCTTCTCCCCCTGCCTCCCGGGATCTTTACTTCTTGCCTGAGAAGGTTAATTTTGTTTTTCAGTTTTCAGGTTAGAAGTAGTTAGATGATTAAAAATTCTAATTCCTGTATTTTTCTGTGCTGTAGGTTGTTACTTGTATCATCAGTCAGTAACAACTAGAAATAATGTAGTGCAACATTTCCACAAAACCGCTCACCATGTTCTTTCGTTGTGGCTGCTGTTTAGCCTCCAATGAATGCCGCCACACGGGGAGAAACACAGCGTAGCTCTGATATGGTACCTCTTCGGGGTTTCAATCGGCCAGGGGTAGCAGCAGTTCCTATGGCTGAGCCTTACCTCCAGTGCTGCCAGTACAGTGACCGCGGCAGCAGAGGCTTCAGGTAGCTGAAGAAAAAGTTGAGATAAAAGCAGTGAGCTGAATGTGTGCTTTTGAACTGTTGGCTGCTGCGGTGAGCATGAAGTGTGAGTGCTGGCCGTGCTAAGGCC